TCCTTGGTGCAAGAGGTCAACTCAGCCTTCAAGTTGGCCATCAAAAGTATACAGCACATTCAAAAGTTGTAATTTACAGTGCACTCAAAATGTACATGTCCTCAAAAGTAATATCAAATCTCAGACGGTTGGGCAAAATCAAGAAAGGTAAGAATTGCGCAAAATTTTGGTGTATACTAGTAAATATCAGTGCAATTCAGAATCTTAGTGCAGGACGAATTTCCTTCGATTAGTTATTAGTGAATTCATTAAGGTGGCCCCCTCAAGTCTGCTGTGCTACTTCATCACGGAAGGTGTGATCGCGAGAGGGAAGAGGGAAGGAAGAATGCTAAGGGCAGATGTCAGCAACATATACATCTCATTAGGGCCACCCAAGGCCTGAAGGTCATCTCAGCTGCTCGACTAAAAGCCAGGCACCTATATTTCAGCACATTGATATTGCAGCAGCAATATCAGAAGATGCTGGAGGTGGATGATTATTTTAGTGACACCAACAACATAATTTCATAGTGCTTGGGAGAACACTACAAATCTCTATTTTACCAAGAAAACCACATAGATGAGACAAGATTAAAATGAATAACAGCGTGCCAGATGATGGGTTCCCCAGGTTGGATGACACTCAAAATGCTACTGAAGAACAGCTAAGAATGTTTCTGATACTAAAGATGTTTAGGTCATTGCTTGCTTAATGCCTTGGGACATCTAATTGCTGATGTCATGCAGGAAAAGAAAATATGATGCTGCAAAGACAGAATCCCAGAAGAAACATAAACTGCCAGAAGTAAGAACATGGGAAAGCTCACCACAGTGAAAGATGAATAGGGTCAACTACATGTGGAAATCAAAATGGACTGAAATCGGACACTTTCAGCCTGAGGACTATGCTGCTTATTGTTGTTTTAACCAGTTGTGTCTGACTCTTGGCGATTTTATAGGCAAGTGCTCTCCATGCCACCCTGTCAAGAACAGCTTCTTTCAATTGTTGGATGTTCATCTTTGTATCAGTTTTGATGCTGTTTGTTACTCAGACGTAAAAGCAGTGTTGTATTCCAAGGGAAGATCTAGCAAGGGCAGTGTTTGGGCAAAATGCAATCAACCTTATAAAAGTTAGACTTCGTAGACACCCTTTTAATACAATGATTATTCAACTTTATGATCTAACCCAGTGGTGAAATCCAAATTTTTTTATTACCGGTTCTGTGGGCGTGGCTTGGTGGGCATGGCAGGGGAAGGATACTGTAAAATCCCCATTCCCTCTCCACTCCTGGGGGAAGGATATTGCAAAATCTCCATTCCCAGCCCACTCTGGGGCCAGCCAGAGGTGGTATTTGCCAGTTCTCCCAACTGCTCAAAATTTCCGCTACCGGTTTTCCAGAACTTGTCAGAACCTGCTGGATTTCACCCCGATCTAACCACAGAGAAAGAGGAAGTTGAAGAAGTTTATAGTTAAATTTACTCTGAAATCAACAGAACCTGCGAACAAAATGCACTGGTTGTGGTGGAGATTGGAATGCCAAAACTGGAAATATTAAGGAAGAAGACGTAGTTGGATCCTATGACTTGGGTAACCGAAATGAAGCAAAATAACTTATCAATGTCTGCAAGTCCAGTGAATTTCTTCATTGCCAACATAGTCTTCCAGCAATCAAAATGATGCTGATGTATATGGACATCATCAGAAGGTACATAGAAATCAGATTGATTAAATAATTAGTACAAGAGGTAGAAGATCCTTCCTTCTGTTAGAGTGGCATAGATGTGGTCAGAGGCTGACTTTGGAGCAGATGATGAACTATTCATTGCAAGTTACAAGTCAAGTAAAGAAGGAAGGAAGAAGTGTTCCGATTTCCACCACATGAGTTTATACCAACCATTTTCAAGAAGAACATCAGGAATTAATGTCCTAATTGAAAGGAGCCAGAGGAATGGTGGAATGAAATAAAAAAGGGATGAATGTGAAAAGAGACTGCCAAAGACCAAGAAATAAAAGAAAGCAAACTGAATGTAAAAAAAAAAATAAAGGGTGGAAAATATCAATTAGAGAAATCAAAGAAAAATCTCAGGAAGGACCATAACAAAGAATTTCAGAGAACTGTCAGAAGCGTAAAGGAGTAATATTACAACATGTGATAAGAGTAGGAAATATGCTTTTTCCGTGGTGGCTCCTGCCCTGTGGGACACTTTGTTTCCTGAAATTCGAGAGGTTTCTACCCTCACCAGCCTTCCATAAAGCTTCTGAAGATCTGGCTTTTCCCCTAAGCAATGGAATAAGATTGAAAAATTGCACATTAGAAGTTTGACTTAGCACTTAGGTCTTCATTATTTTTAATGCTTTAATGTGTTTAGTTTTATAATACATTGTACGTTACATAACTTCTCATTGGAAGTTGCCCAGAGTTGGTTAAAAGATGGGTAGCTATAGGCATATTTTAAATAAAATAAATAACATTAGAACCGTCATTAAAAGGCACAACAAAGAATGCTCTTCCTGCGTCAACTCAGAAAGCACAGACTGCCCAAGGATCTGCTGATACAGTTCTATAGTGGAATTACGGAGTCTGTCATTTGTACTTCTCTAACTGTCTGGTTTGGTACAGCAACCAAACAGGACAGGCACAAACTGGAACAGACAGATAGGACTGCAGAAAAAAAAATCGGAACCAGACTGCCTTCCACTGAAGATCTTATTCCATCAGGCTGGCCTGGCCTAACTGTTTCCCTTTTTTCCCTTTTTAAAACGTAAATTTTAATTTGTTTTTAATTTATTGGGGTGTTTTAAATCTGTCTTCGGCCAAATTGTTTAATTCGATTTTATTCAGTTTTAAATTTTGTATTTGTGTTGTTTATCCTGTGGCTGTTCACCGCCCTGAGTCCTTCGGGAGTAGGGCGGTATACAAATCAAATAAAACTAAACTAAAACCAAATTAAACTATATACTGCATGAGCTAGAAAGAAGGCTGAGAAAATACCTACAGACCTCTCACATCCTGGACATAAACTGTTCTAACTTCTTCCCTCAGGATATTGCCACAGGGCATTGCATGCCAAAACAATTACACACCAAGACAGTTTTTACTCATATGCCATCACTCTGCTAAACCCATAATTCCCAACAGCATTGTCTATGCCGAAAAATATTTAATCATGTAGCAAGACTGTATTACTATCCTCCTCCTCATTCCTATTACCTACTCCTATTAGTTATCTTACGGCTGTCATTTTGTTGGTTGTATCTTATGATTTATGATTGTATCTTAAGATTTATGATTTTATCATTTTGTTGCTGTATGTATACTGAAAGCTTATGCACCAGAAACAAATTCCTGGGGACTGGAGGCTAAAACATATGAAGAACGGTTGCAGTAATTGGGTATGTCTAGTTTAATGAAAAGAAGGACTAGGGGAGACATGATAGCAGTCTTCCAATATCTCAGGGGCTGCCACAAAGAAGAGGGAGTCAAGCTATTTTCCAAAGCACCTGAAGGCAGGACAAGAAGCAATGGGATGGAAACTAATCAAGGAGAGAAGCAACCTAGAACTAAGAAGATATTTCCTGATAGAACACTTAAATCAGTGGAACGACTTGCCTCCAGAAGTTGTGAATGCTCCAACACTGGAAGTTTTTAAGAAGAATTTGGACAACCATTTGTCTGAAATGGTGTAGGGTTTCCTGCCTGAGCAGGGGGTTGGATTAGAAAGCCACCAAGGTTCTTTCCAATTTCTATTCTATTCTATTCTATTCTATTCTATTCTATTCTATTCTATTCTATTCTATTCTACAGAGAAGAATTCATATAATGAAATAGTGGGGGAGACGTGTAGGACAGAGAACTGATTCACTGGCAGCCAGACCAGCTGTGGGCAGTATTCATAGCAAAAACTCTACAATGGCCAAGATCTTTGCCTACTTTGAGGAAGGCTGGTGCCAAAGTATGAGATATCCCAGGAAGCAGACAAAAACAAAAAATCCAGAGGCAAACTCTTTGCAGTACTGCCCCATTATTGTATTAAATCTCCCTTTTGTGTTGTAAATAGCAGTCTGTGTGATACTTTGCAAAATAATAAGATTTAGTCTTGACGTGCTGCATTAGTGAGCCCACAGAGAGGCCAGATGCATTCAGTTCCTTGCTTCAGGTCAGCCTTGCAAAAGCTAGGACTGTCCAGATTTATTTGATTTCAGCTCCAATGGCTGCTAGTCCTTCTCTAAGCGAATAACTACGTTTTCTGCTATAAGCGTCTTATAAACACCATTCATTTTCTGAGATTTGAATATAACTTGAAATGGCAGGTATGTACAATAAGTCAAGTTTGTTTGAGGGGGGAAAAAAGCATATCAGTCCTCTGGTCTTATTTATTTATTGATTAGATTTATATTCTACCTTTTATTCAGCTCAAAGGGGTATATGTAGTTCTTTCTCTTCTAACAACGCTGTAAAGGAGCTTGACTGTACATTTATTTATTATTTATCCTGCCCAAGCACTACTTCCTTCCATTTCCCTCGCAACGAGCATCCTGACAGGTAGGTGAAGGCTGAATAAGTGGCCAAAAATCACCCAGTGAGCTTTGGCGGCCAAGGGTGGACTAGAACCCAGCTCTCCTTTGGACCAGGCAATTACCTAACCATGAAACTGCTAACCAAATCAGCTTGCTTTTCAAGAGAAGCTAGGATTTCTGCTGTCGTACCTTGGATCCAACGTGTTTAACCTAGAGACAATTTGTCCAAAAGAAAGAAAAAGGTTTTATTTCTAGTTTGGAAACGGGGGCAGGATAGCGGGGTGGATTTTGTAATGCTTTGCTGCCAGGTCCTTGCATGAGAAAATCTGCAATCTAGAGAGTTAGAAACGAAATATCAAGCCTACGTTTTACCTAACTTTCAGCAAGCAACCTATATTGATGAGAAGTCTTAGCTTGAGACATGGGTGCAAATTTCTGCAGCACTGAGCAGTCAGAATTTGTTTCTCGTCTTGGGCAAAGCATCTCATCTCCAGGCTAGTTTGGGACAAATCTCAGGCCTTCCAGTTCTTCCAAGGGCTAGGCAGATCTGATCGGCTACTGCCTCCTTTGGTCCTGTTTTTGGCCTGCAACTCATGCCCAAATCCAGGCTCAGATTTCTCTGTGTCAGCCCTGCCCATGGAGGGCAGCTGTTCATTCCTTTCTTGTCCTGTCACTCCCGAAGCATTTACATCTTGAGACCCAAGAGGAAAATTGAAATTATCCTTGGCAAATCTCTAAAAGATGTTGGGGAGAATGGAAGAGAGCTGAGTTTGGGACAGTTTGGGAAAGATACAATTAACAGGAATACCTCCTCTCTTTTAGAAAGTAAGTATTTCCCCCCTTTTTCCCCCTAGTCTTATTATTTATAAGTTTTTTAAAAAACAGGAATACAAAAATCTATTCTGAGAATTGGAAAGCTAGAGAGTAAAGTGTCCCCTTTGAAAATGTGGCCTGTTGTTTCTCCTTGTTAAGCTTCCTGTATTTGAGATGTGTGTCTGTCCAATTTATGGAGGTCAATAATGGCTGAATTCTAGAAGATCTGGAGTGGGGGTTGGTATCACAACAGAGAAATGGCATTTTTTGACTGCCTGTAGGCCAGGGAATATGATGGGATCCTTGTATACTGTAATTTGTAATTTGAGCTGCTGCCAGTGTTCAAGACTGGCCTAAGATTTCATTTTTGCAGGACCGTTTTTTCCCTAGATGTTTGAGTTCTGCAGGGAAAAAATTGCACCTGTTACCAGCTCAGCAAGTCTCATTCTGAGAAGGAACAGGGTTGAGGCAGGGGTGAAATCCAGCAGGTTCTGACAGGTTCTGGAGAACCAGTAGCGGAAATTTTGAGCAGTTCGGAGAACTGGCAAATACCGCCTCTGGCTGGCTTCAGAGTGAGGTGGGAATGGAGATTTTGCAATATCCTTCCCCTAGGAGTGGGGAGGGAATGGGGATTTTGCAGTATCCTTCCCCTGCCATGCCCACCAAGCCACACCAAGCCCACCAAGCCACGCCCACAGAACCGATAGTAAAATAAAAATTGATTTCACCACTGGGTTGAGGTTTCAATCTGTGGCCCTTTGCAGCTCCCAGGAGGCAAGATAAGGGCCTGCTTCCTAGGTTGAAATGTGAGTAATGATTTAGTATGTGGGACACCACAGATCCAGAATGGAAAGGGGAGAAGCTAAACTTTGAGCAGAATTTGAACCTTTAGTGCTGGAGGCAGCTTCATTCTCCATACAGCCCTGAGATCAATTGGAAGCTTATGACAATGTCTGAGTGGAAATGGGGGGAAGGGCTGGCCTGCCAGGCCCATTGCAGAGGGCTTTCTGTCCATTTGGGGGCAATCAGAAATTTTGGAGATAGAGAGATGCATTGGAAAGCCCCAATGTTTTCCCACCAAGAAACTGCACTAACATGACTGATCGCAGGCTTGAGCTGGGATTGGGATTGGCCACTCCAGGGATGGGTTCTACTTACCTTTATTACTGGTTCACAGCAGGGCTGCACACGCGCTCTTCTGCGCATGCGCAGAAGCGTTTTGGTGACATCGGGGTCGGTGGGCGGAGCCTCCCGCCGGTTTTACTACCGGTTCTATAGAACCGGTGCGAACCAGGAGCAACCCACCACTGGGCCACTCCCTAACCTTGTCACAAAAGTTGGGGTGATAATGTAAGAATCAGAGGAAAGCAAAAAAAAAAAAAAGGCATTTTTTTTCTCCTGGTTTGATAATGGGGCTCCGTCCTGGTACTGATAAGCAATAGCACTCTGAGACATGGGGGAAATCTAGGTGGCCGGATATATTTCTAGAGGGTTCAGAAGGGAGAGGAGGTGAGAGAATTACGACCATTCTGTGGTATTTGCTCTTAGTATAATTTAGACATTTCAAGCTGGATGTGTTGACCCGTGTGGCCCATGGTGGCATGTGGCCCTGGACAGCTAGTAATATGGCCTCTGAAGATAATAAAAGTTATAAAAAAATAAAGGAAGCTTGTTATTTATATACCTTAATTTTATTCTGTTTTTTATTCGGCCCAAGACAATTCTTTATTCAATGCAGCCCAGGCAAGCTAAAAGATTGGACAAACATGGCCTAGACTAGAGGAATACTAAGGGCAGATACCTCTGAGTGCATACAAAGTGCCTTTTCCTTTTTTCTGGGTAATCACAATAGATTGGAATAATAAATAAATAAACATATCCCTAATTATCCAGGAATGAGACACCGAGATTCCTAGCTGATATACAAGAAATAGCTTCTAGCCCCTCAGTGCTTTTATCTAATCTGATTTTTAACCGGGCACTAACTGCAGAATAACATATTTCTGGTCTGGTACGCAAGGTTGCCAGGTGTCCACTATTTGAGCGGACAGTCCACTATTTTCACATTATGTTCACTATTTTTTTTCACAAAATAGTGGACATTTTTTTTATTCAAAAGCTTTATGATGAAATGGTACGTAATCTAAAGCTGTACAGTCTAAGATAATAAGGATAGGAGAATCGCGTTTTATCTTTTTTTTCATAAGTTAGAATGAGACAAAGATCGAATATCCATTGAACTCGATTCTCCGAAAAAATTAATGATGAGATCAAAGCTGCGCAGTCAAATAAAAAATACACACGACAGCAAAGTAAAATGTAATTTAATATTTTACATATTATTATATTTGATGTTTTGAATTTTAAGTAAAGTTTTGAAGTGATTATTTTAATACGTGTTAAAATGTTTGTAAGAAAATATATAATTTAATTGTAAATTTTTTTAAAAAAATTTACTACTTAAACCCCCCCCCCCCCGCTTGTCTGCTATTTTTTGGAAGCAGACCTGGCAACCCTACGTATGAGATGTAACTGCTTTTCAAGAATTGATATTTCTTTTTATTTTCTTTAATCACAATGAATTGCTCCTTTCCATACCACCTTTAGGAAGAGCAGGCAGGCAGGGAAATAAAAGAGCTCTATCTTTGAATTTTGGCTGCTGTACTTGATCCCATAAACTCCACCATGGAAGTCCTGTGTGGAGATTTCATTATAGATTTAAAGGTGTTTTAGCAGTCATGCTTTCTCAGGAATCTAATCAAACTACACTTCCTAAGATTCTTAGTCAGGAAGAGAAGCCATGACACTTATTTCCAGCACAAATCTATAACAGAAATGTGTTTTTGGCACTATGATTCTTGCAGTTAGGAAACACTTTAGAATGGATTTTAAAAATAAGTGTATATTCACAATGGGTAACTTGAATTGTTATCTCTTTTTCATCCATGCAATGGTCTGCCATTTTACCAGCTGAACTTATAGTAACATCTTTGAATTAATTACAGATAACTAATCTGTACTAACTGGCAAAGTCCCTAGATAAGTGGTAATTAGGGGTCTATGTACAACCTTAAAGATTTGTTGAAAATGCATCCTTCCTGGAAAAAAAGAGAGAGAGCCAATTCTCTAGATAGTATTTGGCTTTTTCCCATCCTGTAGTGCGGAATGCAAACACTGCATGATAGCACAACATAGAACTAATATTTGCTCTAAATCCAGTGAAAGGAAATGATTGCATTTACTTTTCTCCTGAGATACAGTAAAATGAAAAAATAAAGCTCTGAGGTTGTTCCTTGCTTGGAACAAAACACCCTATTTGCAAAGATGATGGATGGTGATGGATTTTCGAATGACTGGCTCGGTCTGAAAGGAGTCCCAATTTCAGTCGTTTTTAGAAGCCATGCTTCAATCAGTTTTGACAAGGATTGTGTCTAATTTGAATATAACATTTACTTTGATTGAATAATATGCATTCGTAGTGGGTTCCCGCTTATTTCTAATGGGTTTTAAGCTAAAACCTAACCCTGGTGCTGTTTACCCACAGCTAGTGCCCAATGTATAAGCACTTTTTTCCTCCTGTATATTTGTACACAGTGTAAAAGTGAGTGTGAGAAAGAGAGATTGTATGCAAAGGAGATTTTCCTATCACTTCTACTCAGCTTCATATCGCCTGCTGAGGTACTTGTGTGCTTCTAGGGTGAACCTTTCCTATAGGGCAGGGATGACAAACTCACATCGTTATGGCAGCGTCACATGATGTATCGCGACTCCCCCCCCCTTCGCTAAACCGGATGTGGGCATGGCCAGCACGTGATACATCCGGCCCACGGGCCACAAGTTTGACACTCCTGCTATAGGGCTTCTTGGATTGTTCTAAAACCTTAGAATTCCTATAACATGATCAGGGAATCCCAATGCAGAGAATTCCCTCACATGTCAGCCTTGAGCAATTTCCAAAAAGGGAGGGCTGGAAACAGGAAAAGCAGATTTTACTTCATTTAGGGGTACGCAGATATAACTTTGGAAAATAAAAAAAACAACTGAGTTGTCCTAAGGGAAGACATAGAAGAGAAATTCAAAATAACTTCAACCATGGTTTAGTTTGGGATAAGAAGGGCCAGAGGGAAAATGGCAGGCTTTCAAAATGTGGTTATTATGCCCTACAACAATAAAGTACAGTACAGCATTCCTATAATCCTTGCAATGTCTCTTGATCTGGCCTACTGCAAAAGACTGACATTCCCTTCCAGATTTGAACTAAGCTGAGGACTTCTAATTGCTATGTCCTTAAAATACTATCTGCCTAGGACAATTTTTCTCTAATCTGGCATATTCCAAACATGTTGGGACTGCCATTCCCATAATTCCCAGCCAAATAATCCATCAATTGGAGTTTCTGGAAGTTGTTGACTTCCAGCACTTTGCTGGAGAAGACAACTGCTAGCTATTTTCCCAGCAATGTCCTGAGCTGTGGTCCTTCATGTTTTTCTAAAAGTATCAACAAGTTGAATTCTTCATTCCTTGCCAGATACATGCAAGATGTGTTTTTGCTCTTTGGAGGAGGAAATACTGGTCAAAATTAGTCAAAACCTTTCACAATGGTTTTGCAGGACTGAAAGCCTGAATGGGCTGCTCTAAATTGCAAACAAAATCAAGAAATACTGCTTGAATAAATTGCCCCTTTCCATGGGAGTAAAACCACTTATCTCAACAAATCAGAGTCACTAAGCCCTGAAAACTAGTCTTTCACTTCAGAAATATTTTCTGCCCATCTCTACTCACTAGATTGGTTTGGATCCTGTGTTCTACAAGTAATAGGTTGATGAATTAGAATTACAATTGACTTTTAGAGATGAGCATCCTACTTCCATGCACACAAAGGATTGGCAGAGAAATATGACATTTTGGGGGATGCCAAGAGATATCTTGGCCTTTGAGCAGCAAGCCAGCAAAGATTAGACTGAAAAGTTGTAGCGTATGACTATAGATAGAAAGGAAGTTTGATTTAATTCCCGTAGTTAGCTAAATATCACTGCAATGGTTACTCCTCATGCATTTAATACTATTTCCCTTTTGTCTTACTAGAAATTTACTAGAACTTACTAGAAAAATGAAATTCAATGGTGAAAAAAAGTAAGGTTCTATATTTAGGCAAGAAAAACAAAATGCACAGCTACAGTATATGTGGTGCCTTGCTTAATAGTAGTAACTATTAAGAGAGGGATCTTGGAGTCCTAGTGGACAACTGTTTAAATATGAGCCAACAGTGTGCAGCAGCTGCCAAAAAAGCCAACACAGTTCTGGTCTGCATAAACAGAGGGATAGAATCAAGATCACGTGAAGTGTTAATACCACTTAAAATGCCTTGGTAAGGCCATACTTGGAATACTGCATTCAGTTTTGGTCGCCACGATGTAAAAAAGATGTTGAGACTCTAGTGCAGAGAAAAGCAACAAAGATGATTAGGGGACTGGAGGCTAAAACATATGAAAAACGGTTGCAGGAATTGGGTATGTCTAGTTTAATGAAAAGAAGGACTAGGGGAGACATGATAGCAGTCTTCCAATATCTCAAGGGCTGCCACAAAGAAGAGGGAGTCAAGCTATTCCCCAAACCACCTGAAGCCAGGACAAGAAGCAATGGGTGGAAACTAATCAAGGAGAGAAGCAACTTGGAGGAGTTGCTTAAATTTCTTAAGGAGAAATTTCCTGACAGTTAGAACAATTAATTAGTGGAACAACTTGCCTCCGGAAGTTGTGAATGCTTCAACACTGGAAGTTTTTAAGAAGAGATTGGATAACCATTTGTCTGAAATGGTATAGGGTTTCCTGTCTAAGCAGGGGGTTGGACTAAAAGACCTCTCTATTCTATTCTATTCTATTCTATTCTATTCTATTCTATTCTATTCAAAATTTACATTTTGTACCAGTTTTTGGAGAGGTTCTGGAGGCTGAAGCAAGTAGTTCCCAACTGATATCTGCTAAATTGGGTATGAACTATTGGGTTTCAGGACAGTATCTTAAATCTCTTAAAAAGAACAACAACAACCACCTTATAGCCATAAGTTAGTACAGGGAACAGCTGGTCATGCATAAAAAGCAAGCCAGATGGATGCCTTTATATTCTTATCTCAAAGTAATCCTCCATGCATTAAATGAAGTAGGCTATTGTTGCAATAAAGTTTATGTCATCATAAACTTCTTAAAGCTCAACTACCAAGAGCCTTGGTAGTACAGTGGTCTAAGGCACCCTGTTATTAAGCTGGTTATTAAGACCAGCTGTCTGCAATTACTGCAGGTTCGAATCTCGCCAAGGCTCAAGGTTGACTCAGCCTTCCATCCTTTTTAAGGTAGGTAAATTGAGGACCCAGTTGTGGGGGCAATAAGCTGACTTTGTATAAATATACAAAAGAATGAAGGCTATTGCTTAGCGCATTATAAGCTGGCCTGAGTCTCCGGAGAAGGGCGGCATATAAATCAAATTTAAAACAAAAACAAAAACAAGATACTGTCATATTTTCTGCCAGAGACATTGCAATCAATTTCTACCTTTTTTTGTTCTACATGTTTCATTTCCAAAAATGGCTTAATTTCTCAAATGAAAGAGGAGGAACTGGAGCTTATGGAGAGGGCAGATATCTTGTATTTAATGGATTTCTAGTTCATCCCCATCTTTTCCTATTGGGGACAAGAAAGGCAGTCAGAGAGAATGCTGCTCAGCTAAGTGGAGATGATTAAATCACTTCTTCCTAAAGGGAATAGAACTGAAATTCTCTTCCCCAATAATGACTTATAGCATCTTATTAGATCATCTATCAATGAAATGATACAAAGCCTATTGTCACTGCTATTATTTTGGCACATTGATAGTTGAATGACTCTAGATAATACTATGAATCACTAGTTGGGAAATGACCTTGGAATAGATAGAGTTTCTCCTTAATTGTTTGTGAATACCGTATTGATTACTAATCATAGAGTAAGATTTCCCCTCTATTCATAAACCCATATTGCTCATATTTTAGAAGTTCGTCATACAATTAGAGACAAGGCATTTATTTTGGATAGAACCACGGCACACTGCTTTATGAAAGATAATAGATAATAGATGCAGTGAAGAAGTTATTTGGAAGGCTAAATATGTGTGGATCCATTTAACTCTGCATTCAGCTTCAAAAGTGGGTATTGGGAAAAAGGCTTTTGAGGTAATGAAAAATAAAATTTGTAAAACTGAGCTGAGATGGCATTTTGCTCTGCTGCCAAAACAAAAATGTTGTGTAGATTAATAAGGCAGTAATTGTCCATAGGCACTAGTAATTTGTTTTCCCAATCCCATTTGCAATTAAAATGATGCAACAAAATGCTCATGATTGTATAGATTTGACGTCTTATTAAATTCCCTCCCGGTCTGATGAATTCTGCATCATCTCTATTGTATCAGTTAAAAGGGGGCAATAGTTATTGGACTGAAAGTGATACTCCATGTGTTCAAAAGTACCATTTTTATAGGAATTTTTATAGGTTTATGGTTAAGTGTTGATGCTGAAATTGCATTCTGGGGATAAACATGGTTTAGGTTTAAATCCAATGTGAGTATTTGCATTTTCAAACAGGCCTGTAATTTTGACATTTAAGTGTCAGCTTCCTCACAGTTGGGAATTATAAACTGTTATTGCCAGTGTATCAAAAGTATTGGATATATGACCCAACTAGATAAAACACCAGCTTTTGCTTTTTTTGCAAAGAGTTGAAATTTCTTCTATGTTTGTATTTTATCTTTACATCTGTTCTCTTTTTTTGCGCAGTATGACAGAAAAAGAGATTATTGAGCCATCCGCTTCCCCCATATCTATAAGGGGGAAATCTCCAGAAGGGGTAAGTGTTATGGGTTATTCTAGGAGGGTAAAGGTGTAAATCCTATCTCCTAATTCCTCCACAATCAGCCACAGGGTCTTTCTGGAGTCTTTTCCAACCTCCTGTCCTCTGGATATTTTGAATTATTGAGTGAGAAGTCTGAGAGTTGTAGTCTAATATATCTAGAAGCCACAAGGTTGAAAATCTGCTCTGGAGAGACATGGTTATTCAGACAATCCAATGATGCCAGAACCTTCTAATGGCAGCCTTTGGCCATGATGGCTGCAACCAATCCTCTCCTTTCGATTAAGGTTATATAACCCATCCTAAACCACATCTACTGTGTTCACAAGGAACACTTTTTCTTTTCTTTTTACAATTAACATGTTGGGTTTCATGACTGGAGAAGCTACTTCCTCCTCACCATTATTTCTACCAAAGGTTAAAGTTGCTGCCATTGGTCCCACTTGTCCAGCCTCAAATTTAGCAAAGTTCTCTTTTCTGTGATCCACTATAAGTCTTGCCCAATGGGATTTTTGAAAATGTATTTTCTTGAACACAGGTCAACCTGCTACAAAGAACTAGTTGTCAATAAGGTACTAATAATGTTATTACTAATTTTTAAGTAGAGGAAAAAGGGGAAAGTGCCTACACAGCAAATTATAATGGAATGATGGCAGCGCCACAGACACTGTAAGGATTTTTCTTCTGTGCAATGCACAGTTCTTTCATACTTCCTTGCTTATGAGAACACACATTTTAATGCAACTCACCATGTCCAATAAAAACATTCATGGGGGTAAACTAATAGTTTAGTTCAATTGGAGAAACACTTTGAAGGCCCCTAACATGATTTAATAAAGCCAAAGCTTTATCCTAACATATACCCTGTTTCCCCCAAAATAAGACATCCTCTGATAATAAACCCAATCGGGCTTTTGAGTGCATGGCAATAAGGCCAAGCGCTTATTTCAGGGTTCAAAAAAAATAAGACAGGGTCTTATTTTCGGGAAAACACAGTAGTTCCTCTCCAGTTTGAAGATCTCCAGGGGTGGGGTGGGGGTGGGAGGTGGGAATCCACTTCTATCAAGATAATTGGTTCTATTTTCAAACTCTTCTTGCCATCAAAACATTATTGTCATCTGGTAGCTTAAATTCATTAGATTTAATCCTAACTCTAGGGCAGAAGTGAGCAAACCTTTGCCCCACTTCTGTATGGTGGTCTTTCAAATCCAGGTACCTGTATTATTTGACATTGAAATTACCAGTACAAGCTTTAGAATTCACTCTGCTTTTAAAAAAAAAAAGATTGTGGGTACATATGGAAACCTGCTGTTCAAGAAGCACACTTCCAAATCCTATTTAAGTGGCAAAATTACATCTAGGAATGAAATTGCAACCTGGCTGAAAACTGCACAGCATCGTGGAACTTTGCAAAAAGGAGGTCAGATTTCTGCACTGGTGGACATCCATCCCAGTGAAGCGTTCAAATATATTTAAGCTGCATAATTGCTGCAATCTTTTGAAGGTTCATGGAATTCCTGAAAACTGCAGAGAATGGATAAGTTTTGGTATTACGAAGACGTTTAGCAAGCTTATCTATGAGGAATTTCATGTGGAAAGATGAGCTTGCTTTTGGATAAAGGCATGATTTCTTTCTGTGAGTTCTGAACATTAGCACGGGAGTATAAATACTAGAAAAGTGAGTCGTTTATATGTGGATACACACATTCTTGTCTGTGAGGCTTGTAATATATGAAACCACTAAATATATGGATCCACTAAAAATGCTGGATTAAATCAGCCTATGCTATATCAAATAAGCCTATGGCCCATGGCAATTGGTGGTTAATTTATATTCTTACCTATGCATCCTATTCAGCTCCTGCATTTAAAATAATAAGCAGAAACCCAACAAATCAGGATGTGTGTTTGAAATTGAATGTTAGTTACTCCATCAACGGCTTCTAACCCAGCTAAACTCATAGGTCTGAACTCTGCCTTTCTCCAAGTTGAAAAGCTGTTTCTATTTCTTGTGTTGTTTTTTCCCCATCTGTCCTATTCTGATAGGTGTTCCATTCCATAAAAGAGAAGGAATTCCAACTATCAAGTGACATATTATTTTGCTAGATCAATAGTAGTTCAGTATTGGGTCCATTTACTTAATTAAGATGCCAAGGTCATAGTGGTAAAATAACTTAAAGCACTTTCACTGGTCTATAGCATATCTTAGATACTTGCAAAGGGAGTGTTGGTGTCAACCTTGAAGCAAACCTGGATGAGGCCATCTTTGAGGCTTCGTGGTTGCCACAAGGCAGAGGGAGAGAAAGGGAAGGGAAAAATTAGATAGCTCGGCTTTGCCATCAAAATAAAAAGTTTTCCTCCTCCCTTTCTAAAGCCACATTAGAACTAAGGGAGTACAGTTGGATACTGATTTCAGATGGTGGCATTCTCATGTAGTTTTAGGTAACAGGGTAATTTTTAATCTGCATTCTGCATCAATGGAATCAGAGCAATAACTTTCCACTTTATAGAACTGTTCTCCAATTGATAATAATAAAAAACATTTAATAAAATTAAAATGATACAGGATAAGAAGTGAAAGAACAACAGGGATATGAACTAAAAATAATTAAGAATCAAGTCTATAAAATGTGGGTTCCTATTAGAAATATCTTTGGCAATCTAACCCTTTCTCTCTATTTTTTAAAGATCTTTTTATCCTGCCTTTATCATTTTTGTAAGTAACTCAAGGTGGGGAATGTACCTAATGCTCCTTTCTCTTCCTCCTATTTTCCCCATATCAGCAATTGTGTGAGATGGGTTGGGCTGAGAGAGAGTGACTGACCCACAGTCACCCAGCCAGCTTTCCTGCCTAAGGCAGGATTAGAACTCACAGTCTCCTATTTTCTAGCCTGGTACCTTAACTACTAGACCAAATACTTGACACCTGTATCCCTAATATTCATAAGTACTTTTGAGAAAGTGTTTCATATGCATCCTCCACAATGCTTACAATAAGCCCTTTAAGTCAGACCATTATTCTGGTAACTTTATTTCAGGTAAGGGTTGGTAAAAGCTAAAAATGGTTTGTCCAATGCCCAACTAGTGAATTAATTGTATGAGTCAGATTTGTACAAGGGACTGGGATTCTCCACTTGTCACTCTGTTCATTGAGCAATAACTGTGATGGATGAGTCGTGTAACTCATTCTTGTTACATGCCTTGGGTCTTCTGTTAAGATAAAAATCTGTCATTTCCCTGATAACAGGTTGGCAAGCTCAAAATATCACAAGCTATTATGACTGCATAGGGCAATTGCCACTGACTGCAGGGTGAGAGGAGAACTGAAGACATATAGAATAGAATAGAATAGAATAGAATAGAATAGAATAGAATAGAATAGAATAGAATAGAATAGAATAGAATAGAATAACAGAATTGGAAGGGATCTTGGAGGTCTTCTAGTCCAACCCTCTACTTAGGCAGGAAACCCTACACCACTTCAGACAAATGGTTATCCAACATCTTAAAAGGGGACAGGGGCAGGCCTTGAGAATATTATCTGGGAGGAGTTTGATCCTGTGGCTCCCGAGGATGTGGACAGGGTTCTGGGTAGGATTAGTGCCGCCACATGTTTATTGGACCCGTGTCCCTCCTGGTTGGTACTGGCCTCCTGGGAGGTTACACGAGGCTGGCTCCAGGGGATTATAACTGCTTCTCTGAGTGAGGGTGCCTTTCCCGCCGCCTTGAAAGAGGCGGTGGTGAGGCCCCTCCTCAAGAAGCCTTCCCTGGACCCGGCTGAATTAGCTAACTACCGTCCGGTCTCCAACCTTCGTTTTGTGGCGAAGGTTGTTGAGAGTGTGGTGGCACGACAACTGCCCGGGCACCTGGATGAAGCTATCTATCTAGACCCGTGCCAGTCGGGCTTCAGACAGGGGCACAGCACAGAAACGGCATTGGTCGCGTTGGTGGATGATCTCTGGAGGGCTCAGGACAAGGGTTGCTCCTCTGTCCTAGTCCTATTAGATCTCTCAGCGGCTTTTGATACCATCGACCATGGTATCATGCTGCGGCGGTTAAGAGGGTTAGGAATAGGGGGCACCGTTCTGCGGTGGTTCTCCTCCTTCCTCTCCGACCGCTCGCAGTTCGTGTTGGCAGGGGGGCAGAGGTCGACCTCGAGGCATCTCGCATGGGGAGTGCCACAAGGGTCGGTCCTCTCGCCCCTTCTGTTCAACATTTATGTGAAGCCACTGGGTGAGATCATCCGTGGTTTTGGGGTGAAGTGTCATCTGTACGCTGATGATACTCAGCTGTACATTTCCACCCCAGACCACCCCAACGATGCCCTTGATGTGATGTCTCGCTGCCTGGAGGCCGTGCGGGTCTGGATGGGGAGGAACAGGCTCAGACTCAACCCGTCCAAGACCGAGTGGCTGTGGCTTCCGGCGTCCCGATATAGTCAGCAGGTGCCATCGCTGACTATTGGGGGTGAATCTTTGCCCCCCACAGAGAGGGCTCGCAATCTGGGTGTCCTCCTGGACGCACGGCTGTCTTTAGAAGAGCATATGACGGCCGTGGCCAGGGGGGCCTTTTATCAGGTTCGCCTGATCCGCCAGTTGCAGCCCTTTCTGGACCGGGACGCCTTGCGCACGGTCACTCATGCCCTTGTCACCTCCCGGCTGGACTATTGTAATGCTCTCTACATGGGGCTCCCCTTGAAGAGCACTCGGAGGCTCCAACTGGTCCAGAATACGGCCGTGCGGGTGGTTATGGGCGCAACTCGTTGTGCCCGCGTGACACCCCTCCTGCGCGAGCTGCACTGGCTCCCAGTGGTCTTCCGGGTGCGATTCAAGGTGTTGGTTACCACCTTTAAAGCGCTCCATGGCATAGGACCCGGGTACCTTCGAGACCGTCTTCTGCCACCAATAGCCTCCCACCGACCAGTCCGCTCCCACAGAGAGGGTCTCCTCAGGGTGCCATCAGCCAAGTTATGTCGGCTGGCGACACCCAGGGGGAGGGCCTTCTCTGTGGGAGCCCCAGCCCTGTGGAATGAACTGCCCCCGGAAATACGCAAGATCTCCGACCTCCGGGTGTTTCGTTGCGCATTGAAGACCCTGTTGTTCCGCCAGGCCGGGCTATCAACTTAATAATTTTAAATTGGGGTATTTTAAATTTTTGGGGTTTTAAATCGGCCAAATCTATTTAATTATTTTAATTTTTAATTATTGTTGTGTCTTGTGTTTTTAAATTGGCTGTACACCGCCCTGAGTCCTTCGGGAGAAGGGCGGTATAGAAATAAAATTATTATTATTATTATTATTATTATTATTATTATTAAAAAATTCCAGTGTTGGAGCATTGACAACTTCTGGAGGCAAGTTGTTCCACTGATAATTGTTCTAACTGTCAGGAAATTTCTCCTTAGTTCTAAGTTGCGTCTGTAACAAGATTTACAAGCCCTCTTTCCATGCAGACTTCAGGTAGTAGATCGAATTAGTAGGACTTTGGGAACCTGAACTGGAAGTGATATAAGCAGTCAGACCTGAAGTGGAAAGTGCTGAAGGCAAATCTGTGACCTGATTCAGACATTTCACTAAACCAAAATGTCTTTGGTTGGTTTCTGACTTAGTAAGATTTGCAAACCCAACCCTTCGCTATTTATTCAGCGGTTAAACACAGCATGGTTTAATGTGCTATTCATACAGTGCCAAAAATCTCACCTAAGAAATAGACTTGTAGCAGAAGAGACTTTGATATTCTTGTTTTGCTGTAAGTTTGCTTAGAGTTTCCTAGAGAGAGAGGAATTGAGGGCTGAAATGGAAGTAAGCATTGGCAAGAGGTGCTGTTCTTAACCATACAAAAACTTTGAAAGAGAACATAAGAATGAAGTCCCTTCTACAACCCAATCAGGAGAACCTACAGAATAACACAGATGGAAATATTGCTCAGGCATACAGACAGCTGTTTGCTTGGTACGGGATCTATATTCTCATATTTTGTTTTGAAAAACGCTGGACAGAGCCCGGAGTGTTGTGTGTTGGGTAATCGTATGTTCTCTGTTGCCAGAAGCCTGCTTCAAGAGCACCAATGCTGCAAGAATTTCCGCATTTCATTAAACTGCCCAAGTTCGGGATCTCAGGAGACCCTGAATATGAATAAATAAATATATGCAGGCGAATGATTTGCTGCTTTCCCCCTGAGACATATACTATCAGCCCTTAGCCTCAGGAAATGGGCTGCATGTCATTCATTGCTTTCTCCTTGCTGACTCTGGAATTTGCAACATGTTCCTTTCCCAGGAATCCTCTGTCCTCTGCTGCTTTGACTGCCCTGCTTAGTATAGAAGCAATATCTGTACCAGTAAACCATCCTCCTGTCTCAGATCTTACACAGTTCACTGGGCTCAGAGTCAAGATGACCATCACCCTTGTGGAAATAAGTTACCGTACCAATAGCTTAAGGGTTGATAGGACAATAGGGGTACATACAGTATAAATGTGCACTTCAATGAGGACTTAGAAAAAGAAATGGAATGTTTTGACCTAGGTTTCCTGAGAAAACATAAATCACAATCTTAGTCCCAAAAACCTCTTTTATTGAGACGGCTATGAATTACGGTCATTCACAGTCCGTAATGATTCACATACAGTCTGTGAAGATTCCGACAGATGTCTGCTCGAGTTGACACAGTCTTTCAGGGTAATGTTGATAAGCACCCACCTTTATCTCCCTTGAAATGCTGCCAGAGACCTAATTGTCAATTAGTTTTGCAAGGCCAAATGGAGCACAGAGTCAAACGGACTTCTCAGAGCTTGAATTGACTATATGAACTAATTGCTTCCTGCAAAGTCTCACATCCATTTGCTCCTCTTTTATGTCGTATGGGAGGGGCCAATCATCTCCAAGCCTTACTCCCGAGTCGCCCTTTTTTTTCTTAATTGTTCTTGCCTTCTAGCAGCTCTGCGCATGCGCACACTGGGAACTGGCTCACACTGTTCTTCTGCCTTGGTGATGTCAGATTCCGGAGCCTCCAAAGGCATCACATAACTACCAGATGGCCCTGGGCCCCACTCTGCCTCCGATGCAGAGCCCTCATCTGAGCCTTCCCCAGACTAGCCCATGTTCCTCCCCAACCTCCTCACTGTCTGAATCTGCTGCCACCTCTGCTGGCTGCTGGCGAGCCACAACGTGGAAGGGACTTTGGAGGTTTTCTAGTCCAGTCCCCTGTTCAAGCAGGAGAATCTATACCATTTCAGACAAGTGACTGTCCAGTCTCTTCTTAAAAGCCTCCAGTGATGGCTCGCCCATGATTTCTGAAGGCAAGCTGTTCCACTGGTTAATTGTGCAGTTCAATTCTCACCAGGCTCAAGGTCGACTCAGCCTTCCATCCTTTCTAAGGTGGGTAAAATGAGGACCCGGTTTGTGGGGGCAATAAGCTGACTTTGTATAAAATATACAAAAGTATGAAGGCTATGGCTTAACGCATTGTAAGCCGCCCTGAGTCTCCGGAGAAGGGCGGCATATAAATCAAATTAAAAAAAAAATTGTCCTCACTGTTAGAAAGTTTCTCCTTAATTCCAGATTGCTTCTCTCTTTGATTAGTTTCCAACCATTGTTTCTTGTCCTGCCCTCCGGTGCTTTGGAGAATAATTTGACCCCCTCTTCTTTGGGGCAGCCCCTCAAATATTGGAATAATGCTATCATGTCCCGCCCAATCCTTCTTTTCTTTAGACTAGCCAAATCCAAAACCTGCAGCCGTTCTTCATATGGTTTAGTCCAGGGCTGGGTTCTATTTACCTTTACTACTGGTTCGCAATGGGAGCATGCGCGCTTCTGCGCATGTGCAAATCGTCCAATATGACATCTGGGCGAGTGAGCGGAGCCTCCCATCGCTTTTACTACCAGTTTGCAAGAATCGGACAGAACCGGGAGCAACCCACCACTGGTTTAGTCTCCAGGCCTTTGATCATCTTAATTGCTCTTCTCTGAACTTACTGGAGTTTACTTTCTCAGGTGGGGTGAAGCAACTCCCCCTCTCACTACCACTATAGAGAATGTAATGAACTGAGGAATTATCCAGCAGCTTACCCTCTTTCCTCAATTAGCCTGTCTGCCTTTCTGAGTATTTTCCCAGTCTATACAGGTAGTCCTCGACTCACGACCGCAATTGAGTCCAACATTTCTGTTGCTAAGCGAGACAGTTGTTAACTGAGTTTTCCCCATTGTACGAATTTCTTGCCACCGTTGTTAAGTAAATCACTGCAATTGTTAAGTTAGTAACACAGATGTGAAGTGAATCTGGCCTTCCCTGTTGACTTTGCTTGTCAGAAGGTCGCGAAAGAGGATCACATGACCCCGGGACATTAAAACGGTCACAAACATGAGTCAGTCACCAAGCGTCTGAATTTTGATGATGTGACCATGGGGACCATGCTGCAACAGTCGTAAGTGTGAAAAATGGTCGTAAATCACTTTTTTCAGGGCCGTTGTAACTTTGAACAGTCACTAAATGAACTGTTGTAAGTCGAGGATTACCTGTACTGAGTATATATTATTTATTCAATTAAAAGTCATGGACACCTCTCTAATAAAAGCTGGTCTAATGAACAAAGCAGGAGGATGGATTACTGAGACTGACATTGTTCCAACTGATCTGAGGGATTAACCAATTAATGCTGTGGATAATTTGACTTCTGCTATTAATATATGCATCTTGGAAGTGGGATGTAAATAGCTAAAGTGAAATGGGCCTTGCGTGTATCCTGTGACTTAAGCTAAGCAAAACAAGCTTTTACAGTCTCATCAAAGCTGACAAATGCCCCTCCCTAGCAGTTCGAGTGTTGAGATAATGTATATCCACATGCAGCATTAGGCTCAAAGTATGTTATGAAAGCTTTGCCAATAGAATAGATTAGCAAGCAAAACCTCCCATTGATTAATCAATGTGGCTGGGTTTAAGCAGTGGGCCGGGGAGTGAAAGGTTAGTCTGATTACGCTAAGGCAGGGGTGTCAAACTCACGTCATCACGGTGGCGTCACGTGATGTATCCGGACTTTTCCCTCCTTCGCTAAACTGGGTGTGGGCGTGGCCTGCGTGTGACGCATCAGGCCCATGGGCTGGGAGTTTGACAGCCCTGCGCTAAGGTGTAATGAAAAATGAAAATAAAACACATTTCTGTAATCAGTGAGTAGTTTTAATAGTAATTAAAAAGCTAGAATGTTATAATCCATTAAATTTAAGTGTGCCAAGAGAGTCGCTTAGTTTGGAACTCTCTAGTTAAAGTTTGCTTTCAACCCCTCTTTCTTAATGTGCAACATGAGTATAATATGAGCATTTTTGGGCATTGCTCTTCTGATTAGCTGAATTTCTTTTAGTATGTTGGATTCTGAGTTACTCAGAATCATTTAAGAATCAGGTGGCCTAATAAACGAGTAAATGATTCTGTGAAGTTTTTATGGCTTGCTGGGATAATATACATAAAGACTTGAACTCTATTAACTAAATTATAGATTACCAATAATTGATTATTTGGTTGAAAAAATAACCAACCAACAAACCTTTATTTGGTTTCTAGCATTCTAGAAATGCTATCACATGGCATGTTGTTCCCCATCTAAGTCTATTTTTTATTTATTTACTTATTTGTTACATTTATTTGCTGCATAACACCCCATGGGACTACTCTAGGCAGCCTACAATAATAAAAAGGAAGAAAAATGAAAAAGGGTGTAAAGAGAACAGTAGTAAAATAATATAACAATAAAGTAACCAATGACAAAGGAACACAATGAGAATAAATACATCAACATGATAACCAAAATGATGGATGGGTGGAGAGCAAAGAGCAAGTGGGGAGAGGTGGAGTCTGCCAACAATCTGGCAGCCACCTCCAATGTGGACTCCCCCATTTGGTCCCCAGGCCTACTACTACTACTACTACTACTACTACTACTACTACTACTACTCCACACCCGTACACACCAACAGCTTGGTTACCATTAGCTACTATTGGGAATAGAAAGCTGCTACATGCAATTAACGAGCTTTGTGGTGGACTCTTCATGCAGTTTCATGTTGCAACATTGCTGCTTCTTGTATCTTCACGCTGGGCATTTGCTTGCATTTTCTTTGAAGAAAACTTCCACAAGTAGGAATTGGGGTTTTTTGTCTCCCTGTTTTTGCCGTGAACCCCACTTCCATTCCCTTGCCTTATGGGGCTAGACAAGTTGGGGGTGTGTGCATGCCAATTCCACTGGTTGCCAAGGTTCTTGGTTGGCATCTATCAAGTGCTGATTGTCCGCCCCACCCACCCACCCACTCTGCCCCATCCCAACCTGGACCCTCAGTTGCAGAAGCTAAAGCAGTTTTTCCAACGCAAGCCCATGGAGGAGGAGCCTACCTCAGAGGAGCCACAAGCCAACGGGGAGCTGGTCACCTCTTCCGGGGGAACCATCTACTACTATGAGGAAGTGGAGGAGGACGAGGAAGAGCCTGAGGCACCACCTGAGCCGGAAAAACCAGTTAACGATAAACCTCACAAATTCAAGGATCACTACTTCAAGAAACCTAAGTTTTGTGATGTCTGTGCCCGCATGATTGTCCGTGAGTTTCTATCATGCCATGTGTAGTAATTAAAGATGCATGAATCATGCCTGGAAAAAGAAAAAAGCAGCAAAAGTGGCATGGTGGGCTATATTGAAAGCCGAGTAAGTCCTAGCAGGCATATGATTTGGAACAGTTGCTCAAATGGGGGGAGGAGATACAGATTATGATTTAGTGGAAAAATGATAAGCCAACTGTTGAAACAGAGAACGGTATATGCTCACGTTCACCTTACATGGTTGTTTAATAGTTTAATGTAGGTAGTTATCTCTAAGTAAGTAGTTAGCCCAACTAAAGGATCCCTAAGACCACCCCCCACCCTCATGCAGACAGGCAAGACACCAGAATATAAACTGACAGCAAACAGCACTCCTTACTAGCCCTGATGGTGTTACCAGCTAGGGTAATGAAACGTCTGCAAGAAAACAAACAAGCTCAGAGGGCACCAAGGGCCCTTCATAGTTATCTCTTGCAGCCATGCTGAAATTCAGCAATCTTTCATAGCAAACTACGAACGATAGAGGAACATTCTATAAAGAATGGCAGAATGTACTAATAGACATCCATAGTTACAGGTGATGTCCAGTGCAATCATGAGGTCATTGTGCAAACAATGCAATCAGGCCAGAGGTGGGTTTCAGCAGGTCCTGACCAGTTCTGGAGAACCGGTAGCGGAAATTTTGAGTAGTTCGGAGAACCGGTAAATACCATCTCTGACTGGCCCCGCCTCCATCTATTCTCTGCCACCCGAGTCCCAGCTGATCGGGAGGAAATGGGGATTTTGCAGTAACCTTCCCCTGGATTGGGGACGGAATGGAGATTTTACAGTATCCTTCCCCCGCTACACCCACCAAGCCACACCCACCAAGCCATGCCATGCCCACCAAGCTACGCCCACAGAACCGGTAGTAAAAAAAATTTGAAACCCACCACTGAATCAGGCCCTTGTGCAGTGGTGGGATTCAGCCAGTTTGCACCCCTTCTGGAGAACCGGTTGTTAACTTTCTGAGCAGTTTGACAAACTGGTTGTTGGAAGAAATCATTAGGGCAGAGAACTGGTTGTTAAATTACTTGAATCCCACCACTGCCCTTGTGCCATTGTTTCTGATACAAATACATAAGTAGCATCATTTGCATTATGATACATTTGCCCACACTCCATCCCTGAATACTTACGTGTAAATTCAAGCTTTAGCAGCTCTTCAAGTTCTGAAAGCCGTGGCCTTTTGAATCACCCACAATTTTGACTTCCAAGATGGCTGCCCGTAGAGGTGCATCTAAAGCCAAGCCAAAGGGAGAAAAGTATGCCTGATGATATTTCTGTTTTTTAAACATTTTTTTAAAAAAATACTTATGTTTCAAAACATTGTCAGGACGTATGCATTCCATTAGTCTATTTTTTAAAGTAACCCAAGCTACTTTTTCCTCTACAACAAACTCATCTCCTTTTGCTGAGAAAATGCTGATATTTGGTAGTTTTAGTTAAACTGATGATTGTAGTTTAGTTAAAACCATTTGTGATGGAGGCGATCACATGTCAGTCCTCCCCTCCTTGTGTAAAAGAGAAATGAGAGTTTGTCAGGGTTGAAGAGAAGTTGGCTGCCAGAAATGAGCCGAAACTGAAAAGCGGGAGCCAGAAAGGAGATTCAAGGAATCAAAGCCAAAGGAACAAATGGAAATATACTATACCAGCCTTCCCCAGTTTGGTATAAACAGTGGTATAATCCAGTGGTGGGTTTCAAAATTTTTTACTACTGGCTCTGTGGGAGTGGCTTGGTGGGCATGGGAGGGGAAGGATACTGTAAAATCTCCATTCCCACCCCGCTCCAGGGGAAGGTTACTGCAAAATCCCCATTTCCTCCAGATCAGCTGGGACTCGGGAGGCAGAGAATAAATAGGGACGGGGCCAGTCAGAGATGGTATTTACCGGTTCTCCGAACTACTCAAAATTTCCGCTACCGGTTCTCCAGAACTGGTCCGAACCTGCTGAAACCCACCTCTGGTATAATCCAGAAATACACAAATCTTTATCATCCATAGTGGAGATTGGTCATGATGCCTGAGCATGGCGGCAATGGTAGCCCAATACACGGCGCTATACTTGGAATATCTTCTTTGCTCAAGCCAGGCCATAGGTCAACCAAGTGGGCGTCCTGTTGCTTCTTTCTATCCACGAGGCCAAGACATGGTGGGGAGCAAGAAGACCTCTCAAGCTAAAAGCTAGAAATCCTTTGTTGCCAGGCTACATTTTTTTGATAGAACTGAACATACACAGAGTTTTCCCTTGTGGTTTCCGGCAGACCATTTTAAAATGCCAAGAGGAAGCATATTTAGGGAATGCTGATGTTTCATCCTGCAGTCTTTTCCTGAAAGTAATTTCCTCTCCATCTGGGAGACAAATGGCTTTTTTGTATGCTTTTAAATGGCTTCTGTTTGGCTCAATGAGAAGGCATGCTGTGGTGTCACCTATTGCTTGATTCCAGAAATGGGGACACCCGGGGGTGGGGGCTGGGGGGGAAGAGACGCCTTAGCCTATGTAATGCCAATGATTGCCTTTCTTTTCCTTACAGTCAACAACAAATATGGCTTGAAATGCAAGAACTGCAAAACTCACATTCATCATCATTGCCAAAGTTATGTGGAATTTCAGCGCTGTTTTGGCAAGATAGTAAGTCGGCCTCTTCTGAGCCCCAATGCAATGCATCTGCCCTCTGCCGATTGCTATCCATAACATGATTTGATATGACAAGCTGCAGTTTTGGTTCTGTGCTTGCTCCATTAGACATGTAGAGAACACTGAGATGTAGAAGGGGGAATAACTTTTTTCCAGAAAGGTATGCTACCGGTACTTTGAAAAGGGTAGGATTTTTTTCAGTAGTTTTTAATCATAAGTGTAACAAAAGCTGTACACTCAAGAACCTGTCTATTACAAGCTGAGTGCTCACAGCTAGAATATAATTAGATAAAATTGGTGGGGTTTTTTGTGTATTATCGTTGGATCCAGGTTGGGATGAGGTATAAGGCTGAGGTTACTATATTTTAATTACCAAAATAGAATACTGTAGAATAGAATAGAATTTTTTATTGGCCAAGTGTGATTGGACACACAAGGAATTTGTCTTAGTGCATACACTCTCGGAGTACATAAAAGAAAAGATACATTCATCAAGAATCATAAGGTACAACACTTAATGATAGTCATAGGGTACAAATAAGCAATCAGGAAACAATATCAATATAAATCATAAGGATCCAAGCAACAAGTCATCAGTGGGAGGAGATGGGTGGTGGGAATGATGAGAAGATTAATAGTAGTGCAGACTTAGTAAATAGTTTGACAGTGTTGAGGGAATTTAGCAGAGTGATGGTGTTTGGGAAAAAACTGTTCTTGTGTCTAGTTGTTCTGGTGTGCAGTGCTCTATAGTGTCATTTTGAGGATAGGAGTTGAAACAGTTAATGTCCAGGATGCGAGGGGTCTGTAAATATTTTCACAGCCCTCTTTTTGACTTGTGCAGTATGTAGGTCCTTAAGTGGAGAATATTGTAAGAGTGTCTTTTAAAGAAATGAGGAAAGAAAGCCGTGTAATTTGATTTTGGATCCATCAGTATTTGATGATTTAAAAAAAAAATCTATATCATGAAGTCTATAGGATGGCTACCAATAAGAAACTTAAAAGAATTTCTTTATTTATCTAAAACACTGATGACCTATCTTATAACAATTCTGGGCAGCTACCAATCAAGAACGAAAACAACATAAAACCATATTAAGACTGCAGGAACTCAGCACATTAAAAACAAAAGCAAAAATATGATGCCAAATCAAGCTTCCAATATTCAGTCACCTCATATGATCAGAGTGCTTGTGGAGAAAATCAAGTCTTCAGTGCTTTACAGACAGTGGGGCCTGCCAAATGTCAGGGGCTGCCATGGAAAAGGCAGGCTTCCTAGCTCCCATAAGACACCAATATTTAAAGGAAGGGACTAGGAGCATGCCTTCCCTATCTGATCTGGTAAAACAAGTAGATGAGCTTAGAGAAAAGCAGTCTTGCAGATAATCTGGCCCTGTGCCATATAAGACGTTCAAGGTGACGACTAGCACTTTGAATTGTACCCAGAAAGAAATTAAAAGCCCGCACAGCTCATACAACAGAAGTTTACCATGGGCAGACCTAGGGGCACTTGTCACCATGTGCACTGCCATGTTCTGGACCACTTGAAGTTTCTGGGTGGTCTTCAAGAGCAGCCCCATGTAGAGTGCATGGAAGTAATTCAAATGGGAGTTGACCAAAGCATGAGTAACTATTAGCAAGGCCTCCTGATACAGGAAAGAGTGCAATTGGTACACTGGGCGACTCTATACAAAAGCCCCTCTAGCCACTGCTCTCATCTGCTCTTCAAGCAGAAGCTATGAATCCGGGAGGTCTCCAAATTTCACACCGAGTCTGGAAAAGTGCCACCCCATCCAGAATCAAAGAGGACTCTGGGGGTGGGCCAGGAAGGTCAAAACCCCACAGACACTCTGTCCTGCCGAGGTTGAGTCAGAGCCAGTTCCTCCCCATGGAGTTCATTTTTAGGAAAACCAGCTGACAGAAACAATAGATCTCAATTCCCAGATAGAATTGTTACTAAACGCAGATCTTGTGCCTTCAGAGCTCCATGTTGTGAAAAGAATGGCTAAAAATCTGTTGACTAGACAAGGTGAGAAGGAAGCTTAAGAAATTTAACCCTGGAATTTAGGTATGGGCTTTGATTCCTGCTGCTCTTCCTGCAGTAAGGCATTTTATTCAGCCATGCTCTTATTTGTGAAGTCTCTAATTATTACTGGATATGACTGAGTTTCTGGAGAGTTCATATCAGTGACCGTGTCTGGTAAATATGGCAGGAACTTCCCAAAATTCTGACCATGAGATTGCCGTTTCCTCACTGGTGTGTGTGTGTGTGTGTGTGTGTGTGTGTGTGTGTGTGTGTGTGAGCCAGCTTTTGACTCTTGCCAACTGCCTAGGGAAGTTCCTGCAATTTTTTGGGCAAGATTTCAGAAGGGGTTTGCTCTTGCTTCTTTTCTAAGGCTGAGGGAGACCAGCTGGCTTCATGCCTAAGGCAGGACTAGAACTCATGGTCTCTTACCTGACACCTTAACCTAAAGTGACTAATCGTCCTCCTTTAGGGAGGACAGTCCTTCTTTTGTAAGCTCTGTCCTCTCTCGAAACGTGTCCTCCTACATGTCCTCTTTTTCGATATTTGAAGACTAATCTGTAAATCTCCGTATTCGATTGATGCCGATCTGATCCGTTGCGTGTGATGTGACGATTCGTCAAGGCTCGGTACTGTATGGCGAGACGCGATTGTGAGATACATGCGCTCCTCACAGGAGAATTGTTTTGAGAGAGTATGCCGCACCCAAGAGTGCGCTGCGCACAAGTGGCTTTGTTTACTTCTTACCGAAACATGACACGACACACACACACACGCATTAGACTCATTGTTGCAATGAATAAAATGTTTCTTTTATTTACAATATTTTTTTTCTTCAGTTTATTTGTGTAACCCTCCTTCTCATTGTAAAAAAGTGGGTCACCTTACTTAACCACTATATCAAACTGCCTCTCTACTGCTACTAGGCAAGAAACCACAAACCTGGGTAAGATTTCTGGGATCAGAGCCAAGAACATAGCTTCTCTCCTCCGCAACAGTTTTATGTGTGGATGGCATTCATGGATGAATATGTATGGTGTAATCTTACTCATCAGCTCTACTTGCCTTGAAGCCTTTAAATGATTACATGGAAGAGCTGCCATTTTTATCTTGCATCATTTCTTCTTGCATTTATATCCAGTATTGTTATTAGTATTTCCTCCAAATCAACCCTGGGGTCTATGGTGCTGCAAGAATTTTAAGTAGGGCACCTTGATTTAAGAGCTAGTTTGCTACACTTGTTTTACATGGATAAAATAATGCACAATCTGAATATCAATCTCTGGAAGTGACTATCTCAAATAAATGTATGCCATTGCCTCTCCATGGGCCAGAATAAAAAGTAGAAATGCGCAGTCGTTACAGTGTATATAAGGATTACCTTATTTTTCAATTGGAAATTATTCTTGTGGGAGAAAAAGTACATTTATTGGCCCTACAATGGACTTTATACTTTTGAAAAATAGACTCCAATTCTTAGTGTAGATTCAGCGCATTGCCTTTGATAGATTGAAGCCACAATTCCCTAACTGCAGAATTGGAGGAGAGCAGTGGGTGAGTAAGCTAACAAATTACCCAGTATTTTTGTATATTATTAAAAGCTGAAGCAGCTAGTAACATATTCTTTATAAATAGCTGTATACTAAAAGTTTGGTTATGAACATTTTTCATGTATTTGGAGAAGACCAAATGGTTCTCCAGAAATCCCTTTTCCCCCCTTTTCTCCAGTATTATATGCAGTTATTTGGCCTTTGGGGTGCCATTTTTTTCTGTGACCTTAACCAGTTAGGGATCACAGTGAATCAGATGACATAAATGAGAACAAACATAGCTGAGACAGTCTTAGCTTAGATTCAATTTCATTGAGGGCTGCATCAGAGTTGTGTTTGACCTTGGGGTGGTGGGCGTGGCCAGGGTGGGCATGGCCAGCTTGACATCACTCATGTCGGGGGCGGCTGTGGTGGCCCAAACATTCTGCCAGCGAAAACAGGCTTCTGAGCTCCATTTTAGGCTGCGACAGTCTCCTGCAAGCACGTGGCCCTCCTGAGCTCCGTTTTTGCTGGCAGAGGCACCATGGGCCGGTCCTTCGCTGTTTCCAGGGTGGCCCCACGGGCCAGATCTAAGCACCCCGCGGGCTGGATTCGGCCTGCAGGCCTTGAGTTTGACACCCCTGGCTTAGAACAACACAGGTCATGTGGGTGAAGCCAGTCAGTTAGTTTCTCTTTAGCAGGTCCAATCAATAGAAGCTAGCTTTTTCTGAATATTGGAATGCAAAAAACAGTTGCAACCAGGGCTCTTCTCTTTCTAATTGGGGATTTCACAATACTGTGGTTTCCATTTTGCAGAACACACATCATCTTTTACAAGGGCAAATGGATAATAGAATATTTCTTAGTAGCCAAGTGTGATTGGACACACAAGGAATCTATCTCCGGCACATAAACTCTTAGTGTATATACAAACAACAAAGTGATAAGTCATAAAAAAGTAAAATACCAAGGGCTGCTCTGCCAAGTTGACTAGAAGTAGGCATACATAATTTTTGCCCTAGAAAAGGACAAAAATAAAACTAAACTATATTAAATACATGCAATGAATTAATATTTTGTGCATGAAATGACTTCCCGTTTCCATCATCCTGAAAATGATAATAAAGTGTCATGTTTAGGATAGGTTTTAGAGGCTACTGCCAAAGTTTTGGGAGACCCTGCATTTCGTCCATACTTGCTTTATTAAGTCTTTTTGATAAATCAGCAGAATAATTCTTTCTGCATCTTATGAAAATATTTGCTACATGGTGTTATTTATAAAGCAAGCATTAGACTAAGGTTAGAGACTCTTGTCAAGGATAATAGCTGCCTCTGTCACCAAGCTTCATCATTTGGGAGAAAAATGGACTTTGTGCCCTTTTTCCAATGTTCTTGACTGGATATAATCTTTACCTTTTACTCTTCAGCCTCCAGGTTTCCGCCGTGCTTACAGCTCTCCATTGTACAGTGCCCAACAACTCTCAAGTGGTAAGTCAGTCATCCAATAGGACTTTAACTCTTGCGCATCCATCCTCAGAAACACCTTTGTAACTTTTACAACCTTTTTTTTTGGGTTTATTTCACAGCTAGCCGAAATGATCCTGTCTTTGATACCCTACGGTCAGGTGTGATCATGGCAAACAAGGAGCGCAAGAAAGGGCAGGATAACAAAAAAAACGTAGGAAGCCAGTATGATGCAACATCCCAACATAAAAGGGTGGTGCACAGTGGTGAAATGTAAAATTTGTTATTACCAGTTTTGTGCGCGTGGCTTGGTGATGGGGTAATGTGACTGGGTGGGCGTGGCCAACTTTTTTTTTTTACTTTTTTAAAGCATTTCTTTTACAACCTATTCGGGCGAATAGGTTAAAAAAATGCTTTTAAAATTTTAAAAAAGGCTCTGACGATCGCGCAGCACAGCTGTGATTATCAGAGACTTTTTTTTACTTTTTAAAAGTATTTTTACTACCGGTTCCAGAGAACCAGTAGTAAAAAAATGCCTAAAAAGTAAAAAAAAAAAGTTCCAACAATCAGCTGAGTGATGCCCAATCTTCGGAACTTTTTTTAAAAAACTTTTTAAAGCATTTTTAACTACTGATTCCAGAGAACCGATAGTAAAAAAATGCTTAAAACATTTTTTAAAAAGTTCTGACTATTGCGCGTTGCTCAGCTGATCGTCGGAACTTTTTTTAAAACATTTTTTACTACCAGTTCAGTGAACCAGTAGCCTTTTTTACTACCGATTTGGGTGAACCGGACCGAACCGAGAGCATTTCACCCCTGGTGGTGCATAAGAGGCTATCCAAGCTGGAATAATGGATGAAGATAGAAGCAATTCTAAAGCTAACATTGGCCACGTGTAGCAATAGCACTTAGACTTATATGCCGCTTTACAGTACTTTACAGTCCTCTCTAAGCGGTTTTACAGAATCAGCATATTGCCCCCCAAAATCTGGGTCCTCATTTTACTGACCTCGGAAGGATGGAAGGCTGAGTCAATCTTGAGCTGGTCAGGATCAAATTGCTGGCAGTTGGCTGGCAGTCAGCAGAGTTAGCTTGCAATACTTCATTCTAACCACTGCACCACTGCACCACATGTACCATTCCAGCTATTTCTAGATTCTCCATTACTCATGTTGGCTGGGACTGATGTGAGTCCAGTGAAATCTGGAGGGCTATATTTTCACCATCCCCCTTTAAATTACTTAAAATATTCATCTATTCCTCTCCTTCTCTCCTTAAATTCAAGGCTACAAGGCACTAATCTGTTATCCAGAATCTCTTGATGCTGAGAACTCTGCATTCTACAGCACTGCTGAACTTGTAGCATTGTGGGTCAGAAACAAAGGAAGTGCATGAAGTGCATCCTATGGCAGACCTTTTCCATAATACCACTGCACTATGGAATAAACTGCTTCTGTTGGTAAACTTGGGTTCTACCCTTCTGTGACTTCAGAAGGCACTCAAAATCATTCATTTCCAATAGGCCTGTGCCATTTAATGAGAAGTTGGAGGCAACCATCTAGTGTAAGTCCCAAAGGTGCTTTTTCAAGAGGCAACTGGGACTTTCTGTTTTTTCTTTGAAGATGGTTCACTTCTCATCCAAGATTCTGCAGAGCTGAAAAAGGTTCTTGAAAAAGCACCTTTGGGACAACCGTGACCTGGGTGGCTGAGAATATCCATAGACATCTAGTATAAGGTTTGAAGTTTAGTGTAGATGAAGGATAGGGGTTTGTCAGTGTTGTATTTTGTTTCTGCACCGTCCTAAGTTTATTGATTGAGGTGGCATATAAATAAATACTGTCAAATGAATATTTTCTGATAGATTTTCCTTCCTACATTTTAGCCTTTGGCTGCCATGATGGAAGAAGAAACAGAAGCCCCCAAACCAGAAAGTGACAAACCAGAGGGAGGTAAGTGTTAATATACATCTGTTGTCTCTGGAATCCAGAGTCTAAATATTTGTTAAGCAAATGTTGCTCAAATAAACAAAGTACAACAGAAGCAAGAAGATCACTGAAAAGAAAAGAAATCCCTGGTGCCCACAAATTAAAACTTTTTGCCATGTGACATCTCAGGAGAGGCAACTGATAGCTCTCCAGATGTTGTTCAACTGTAACCAGGTGTGATTCTGCTTATGTTTTTGAGTGAAGTTCACCTAGGTCAGGGATGTCAAACTCGATTTCATTGAGGGCTGCAGGAAGGTTGCGTTTGATCTTGGGTGGCCAGGGTGGACATGGCCAGGGTGGGCTTGGCCAGCTCAAGGTCACTCATGTTGGGGCGCCTGTGGTGACCTGAGTGCTCTGCCAGCGAAAACGGGCTCCCAAGTTCTGTTTTAGGCTGCAACGGTCTCCTGCAACCATCTGCCAGTGAAAACAGAACTCAGGAGGGGCGCACGAGCTCTGTTGTCACTGGCAGAGGCACAGCGGGCTGGTCCTTCACTGTATCCAGGGTGACCCCATGGGCCAAATCTAAGTACCCCATGGGCTGGATCTAGCTCAAAGGCCTTGAGTTTGATACCCCTGATCTAGATGCTGCCTGTTGGCCAAGATTTATCCTTTAACTAGAAAATGCAAATATAAAACTGAAATGAATGTAATGAATCAAGATCAGAAAAAAAAGGACACCTAAATTTGTGACTGCTGTAAGCAGGGAAAGGAAGGCAGACTAATACAAGAAAAGCAGAGACGGGGGAGTTAATTTATGAATTATTTCCTTTTTAGGCCTTGGGGAAATTATGGCATTTTATTTTCAGTGCCCTAGGAGAAGGAAAGCTGATCTTTTTTCCATACAGGTAATCTTTGAGTTACAAATGTAATGGAGCCTGCCAATTACATTCGTAACCCGAGGATTCATAGCAATGAATCATGTAACTGGAATGTGATCACTCCCTGCTTTTTCTCACACATTTGCTAATTGAATGTGTGTGTTGTTAACTGCATGAGGCATCTCAGGGTGGGGAAGGCCATGGGGAGCCTAGTGCTTCCAAACACCCAAGGCCTCCTCCAACCCACTGAGATATCTCATGCCTCCCCCTGCTTGACTGGGTCATTTACCATACGTAGATCTCAATGATCAAGGTAGTTGTCTCCTCTCCAGCCTCTCTGCCGCAGTTTTATCTTGAGCAAAGGCTTGCTGAGGCCTGCAGGGATGAAAGATTGCATCCCTATAGGTTCCGGTTGTCTTTGCAAAAAGTCTTTGCTGATGAGAACGGAGCCCGGAAGGGGTGTATGTGTCCCTCTGGGCCTCTGTTCTTGGCAGCAAAGGCTTTTTGCAAAGATGGCAAAAGGCTTTGCAAAGAGAGGGAAGGCTTTGGTGCTTTAGGCCTTGCCTCTATTTGCAAAGCCTTTTGCCCCAGATCTCGTCCAAGCCTCCGTTTGCAGAAAACAGAGTCCTAAAGTACCATGAGATCATGCGAGATCAGTAGTGCAAGATCTCACATGATCTTGCAGTACTTTCGACTTCCATTCTCTGTGAACACACTAAAGGCTTTAAGCACTGAAATAGGCCAAGAAACCGAAGACTCGCTAGATCTTTACAAAGTGAGTATCCACAGGCCCAATACCTGTGGAGACCCAGGGGAGGGCAGGGATAGGCAGGACCTCTGTAGTCATTCGTAAATGAGTGCCATGGTACTGCAACATTCGTAAATTCAGGATTGTTACATAAGTACTTGGGGGAGGGGGTTATGTCGTAACTTTGAACAGTTGCTAAATGAACTGCCGTAACTCAAGGATTACCTGAATTTCATCCCATCTGAATTTCATTTGCTTGCTTGCTTGTCTTTAATCCAGGAAAACCAGAAGGACAGAAAGCAGAGAAGAATGCCCCAGATGACAAGGTGCTTGCCCCTTACTCTTGCATGGGAGAGGGGAAGAGGGAGAGATTGTGCTTGCCGGTCTCCAGATTGAACACAATGACTACACACTTTCTTGTCTCCAAATCCTACAAGTGTGTGATGCTGTTACAAGTCACTTTTCTTCACTTGCCGCTCTGATTATTCAAATGGTTGCATGCTGTTTTTTCCCTGTATAGTCAACTCTGCGTTGTCTTTTTTTCCTGCACAAATCACATTAGTAGAAAGGACTGCATGGAGGGGAGAAAATAGGAAAATGGTACATAGACAAGCCACTCAACTCATGTATATTATTCTCTCAAGGTCAGAATCTCAATGCAAGAACTCGGAGTCTTGAGATTGAGCAAGGAAGCAGACTCCTGCCCGCTTGCTTTATTGCCTATGGCCTCTCAGATTCCACCAATCAGATTCCACTAATCATCCATATACACTTAAAGAAGTTGACACACAGTACATTTTGAGCGTATGAACAAAATAGATTTCAGAAAATCTACTGTCTGTTACCTCTATATTTATGCATAAAGTATAATGGAAGAGGATGGCTTTGTTACTACTTGTGCCAGATAACTGAGGATTAGACAGCCTTGCCTAGGACCACAGAAAGACCTATGGACTATATTTGTAGAGCTGTAAGGTTGGGTAGCTACAAGACTTTGAATGGCTGATATCCTGCTTTCCAGAGGTAGATTAAATCCCCTTTGGAGATCCATACATGGATGCTCCTGGTCATATAAACATGTTTATTTGTACACCTATGAATAATCTGTTTTGATTTCTTGCCCATCCTGAGACTAATTTTATAGAAGGTATCTATAGAAGAGCTTGTGTTTTGCCAGCATTAAAGATTTCTGACAAGAATGTGAATACCTAAGAGCAAAATATACTAGGTAACACCATTAATACTTTACCCAAATTAGGTAACTGGTATTACCTGGTTCGGTAATGAAACATCTGCAAGAAAACCACGAAGCTCAGAGAGCATCAAGGTCCCCACATTTCAACCCTGAGTTACAAATATTCTCTTCTATTGTTGACCTTAGCTTGGCAGGATTACCCCAGGTTATTACCTACGTGTAAATTTTCTGGGAAGCCCAAGGCTACAATCTAGCTTGGAAATCCATCCATAAAGGGGCTATAGCTGCCACTTCCATAACATTGTCAAGAAAACTGACAAACTGACAAGAGTCAAGTTTGACTTGAAGCGGGCTTTACTTTTTTTCTTCTTTTGAACAGAGTAAGAAGCAGCAAACTGGGTTCCCACAGTCTCACTACTTTATTGCACTTTATCGCTTCAAAGCCTTGGAGAAGGATGACTTGGATTTCCAGTGAGTAACGAAATTGTCTTGTTTTTATTGATCAGAACATCACCAGCCTCAAACCTTGTTAAACCACTTACAGAAACAAATCCCAACATAGAAGTGTCTGGGTTGAGTTTCTGATATATTTTGTCAAAGTCAAAGTCAGTAGAAGGGAGTGCAGTCTCCGGAGTTCAGAGACTGATGAGTAACCTATGGAGTAATATATGGAATTTGTTATCTATGGGGCATGGAGCTAAAAGGCAACATACGAAGATAGTCTCTGAAAAAGTCATTGATAACAAAGAGATTTGGAACTCAAAGCTTCACTGAGCTGGTTTTACATTAATATAAAGAGTAATGTGAGAATGCTGAGAACTCAGATAAAACATCAAGACATAACTTGTCTTGAAGGAAGTTTCCTTATTCAGGAATATCAAAGGCTTATGGAATACCATTTCTGTATCCCTCTTAATTCAGTACATGCATCCAGAGGTGATATTCAGCTGTTTTGGACTGGTTTGCCTAAACTGGTAGAGGAAATCACAAGTGGGCCTGCCCACCAGCCCTGGCTCTATGCCATCCTGTTTAGGCACATTTTTGAGGCTGGGCGCAGGTGCAGAAGGGGTGTGTGTGAGCAAAGTACATGTGGAAGGCCGGGCACATGTGTGGAAGGCAGGTGTGTGTGCAAACTGGGCGCACATGCGCATGAAGCGAGCATGCACGCGTGTGGTGAACTGGTAGTAATATAATGTGAAACCCACCGCTGCATGCATCCCATGGGTGGGTTCTACTTACCTTTACAACTGGTTTGCAACGGGATCGCATGCGCAGATCGCCTATGATGACATCCGGGGTGGTGGGCGGAGCCTCCTGCCAGTTTTACTACCAGTTCTTGCGAACCGGTCCGAACCGGGGGCAACCCATTACTGATGCATCCCATGTAAGACTGTGAGATCTTCACTTGACAGCTTCTTTATAGTGTTTTGTGAAGAAGGGCTAGAAGACAAGTAAACAGGGTTTACCCTGTATGCAAATGTAGGCACCGTAAACAATAAATATAGAATCCTACCAATGGTTGCAAGATGGAGAGAGAAGAATTGAGCGTTTATCAGGCTGCTGTTCTGGTGCTTGGCTAAGACTTTTGTATCTCATTACCTTGTTGAATTTGTGGAAGAACCATGAAGGAAGTATGGGGGGAAGTTGGCACCTTGGTCAGATACTCAGAACTGGGAAAGAAAGGATTAAATGGCCAAAATGGGCCATGTTGTTCAGCAGTTCTGACTCGCAACAGTATTTTCATCTTTGGGCCCTTGTTCCCTTTCAGCCCTGGGGACAAAGTTGCAATTGTTGACGACTCCAATGAAGAATGGTGGCGGGTAAGAAGATGGTTTCTCTTTTGGGATCTAAGCCTATTCGTTTTGAAGAAAGCTCTTGATCTTTAAAAGCTTTTAAATATCAGTGGTTAGTCACAAGCAAAATATTTGGGATTTCCTCTGTTTCGGTTTTTACTATGGCATCCCAGCTGGAGTCTTCCTTCAGTGTGACTCAAGACATATTTGAGTGATTTAACTAAACTTGGCAAAATAGTGTTGCCCCCCTCCTCCTCCTAATAAATCAGTTACTGAGTGAAAATGAAAAATGGGCAACCGTTTAACGGCCAGGGGTTGTATATACCGTGTTTCCCCCAAAATAAGACTGGGTCTTACATTAATTTTTGCTCCAAAAGATGCATTATGGCTTATTTTCCAGTTAGGCCTTATTTTGGGGGGAAATACAATACTAAATGCCTCTGTCTGGTTGACCATCTTAACTGGGTCTTATTTTTGGGGTAGGGCTTATATTACGAGCATCCTGAAAAATCCTGTTAGGGCTTATTTTCCAGTTGGGTCTTATTTTCGGTAGTATAAAATTAAAAACAAGCATTTTAAGAAATAGAGTCATGTCTCAAACGTGAAATCCAGGGCTTTCTATTGTAGTTTCTTCCTAGATTTTGGGGAGGGGAAAAAAAAGAGAGTTTATTTGCTACAAATGTTTGGGTGTGTCCTGCTTTAACATTGTATGAAACTCTACAGCTAGTTTTTGGCAGCTGTAGTCAGGGAAGGGTTAAAAATTAAACAATATCACTAAAACGCCCAACCAAAGGGGACGGGGCCCCAGAAGATCCTATTTCCACCTGCTTTGTACTATTATCTAAATCATATGCCCTCCCCCCACATTTTAAAAATGTTCAGTCCAGTCATCAATAGGCTGCCTATTCCACCACAAAATATATAAATCCATCCTCTGTCAATAAAATGTTATGAATGACCATGTTAAAAACTGTATATTTTCATGAAAGGATTCAAAGCCACGAGTAATATTAATTTTGTATTTTTCCTTTTGAAATATTTCCTTTTGTAAAATTCACTCATTTTTCTCTCACAATATTTTTTAATGTCCCCCATTTAGAACATGCAAGTCACTTACTGTCCTGAAAATGGCTTAATGAACAATTTGCAGGATTACCGATGTCAATTTTGAGAGGAATGAGGATAATTAAAATATATCATGTTGGCAAGAGCTAATGTTCCAAAATATTAGTTACTTGTCTCTTCCTCCTTTTTTTAAGAGCAAAAGTGTATTTATGTGCTGAAGGAGAGAATCACTGCGAATTGCCAATTTTCCTCTCTGCTTTTTTTGAAGAAAAAAACCCTCATGTTAATCCTATCTTGTTTCATGGTGATAGAATTGGGAATTTGGGGGGGCAGGTTATTTCTTTATAAAGTAACTTCGTGCATGAATCTCTTAGGGGAAGAAAATTGGGGAGATTGGAGAAAAAATTGGATACTTTCCGCCAAACTTCATTATTCGAGTGCGTGCAGGAGAACGTGTGCATAAGGTCATGAGGTCCTTTGTGGGCAACAAAGAAATTGGTCAGATTACATTAAAAAAGGATCAGGTATGTCTCTTTGAAGTACTTCATTCAGATATAAATAAATGTCTCCCCTTCCCCCACTGTTCTGAACAGCCGAAAACAATGATAACTTTTACAAATGTTTCCACCTTGAGCTGAAAGGTCCCAATCACGGGAAAACTGCCACATATTTTCCCACAAATTGATCTTATATCCCATCCTTTCTGGCAGACGATTTATAAGTTAAGTAAACAAATGCTACAATAGCACAATTTCTCTTTCTTTCTTTTTTCCTGCAAATTCTTTCTGAAATTGAGGAGTGGGGTTTTTGTTGAGTTTTCATCTGATAATTATCACGTAAGCCAGAGCTAGGAGGAAAACAGTTTAAAAGAGACTGATCATGTTTTGATTTATACTGAGTATCTGGGGAATCTGGGTACATGATAGTTATAAAACCCAGCTTTTTTAAACAAGTAATCTAAATAGCATTCAGCTCCCAAGCAATTCTAAGGTGTTTTTTTTTTCTAAACTCAGGTCTTGTGCTACTTATTGGCAATCCCATCCCCTCCTCCTTTCCTCCATATAAATCTACAAGAACTCCTTCCTAGAAAAATTGGTAATCTACTTTGGGGATTCTGCCTCATCTAACATCTCTTATCTTCTTATAGATTGTAGTACAGAAAGGAGAGGAGTTGAATGGGTATGTCAAAGTCTACACTGGCCGCAAAGTGGGACTCTTTCCCGCGGACTTCTTGCAGGAGATCTGAGGTCCAACCCTGGGATTCACAAGGATTTCATAACCAAGGCCAGAGAAGGCCAGAGTGATTGAGTGTTCGTTACCAGCTGCCAATGCCTCTCTGCAAGGAAGCTGAGTTTCTGCAAGTCTGCGGTCCAAGAGCTAAGACATCACAAGAAGGCCTGTATCATCAGTGAGTCAGGATTCAAGGCAAAAAGCTTACCTATCTGCCACTGGAGAGGTCTCAGTGCTTCTCTTGAACTCTGCACTTTGCTGCTGGCAGATTCCGGAATGGGTTCAGCCATTGTCTCTTTATGATCTTGTCGTGAAGGTGCTGGGATGCGGCCAAAGCTGCTCTACATCTTATCTGCGAAGAAAGTGATTGGACAGATTGATTGACAGAATTGACAAACGGCAAGAGTTACTGCTGCCACCCCCTGTAGGTGGCACTAACATGCGCATGCATTTACTTCAGGATATGGCTGTCCCTTTGCTGGCAGAGGGGGAGCTTGGCTCCTAGTTTACTTGGATGGCTTAGATACAGTTATGTTTTGCCAATATCTGTTACCCTTTTCTATCCCTCACTTGCCTAGCTGTGCTGATGCAAAGCAGCAAGTTTCTGGATTAATAGAGAATATTTGTAGCTCAGGATTGATATGAGGGGTCCTTGGTGCTCTCTAAGCTTGGGGTGTTTTTTTTTTGGTTTTGTTTTTTTGCAGACATTTGATTACCTAAACTAGGTAACATCATCAGTTGAAGCACTGGTGATGTTACCTAGTTTGGGTAATGAAACATTTGCAAGAAAATAAACCAGCTGAGAGAGCTTCAAGGACCCCTCATTTTCTGTATTTGCTGTCAATTGCTGGGAGGCTATGAAATTGTTCTGCTCCTTTAAATTGAACTTATATTTATATTACTTTTGTTATCCTCTTCCACTTGTTTTGGTGCCTTCAAGCTATTGTTGATGCCTGACAACTGCCTGGTCTACTCCCTGTATTTTTGTTAGCAAGGTTTTTCAGAAGTAGCTTGCCCTTGCTTGCCTCCTATGGCGGAAGGAAAAAGAGTCACTGGCCCAAAGTCACTCATCTGGCTTTGTGCCTAAAGTGGGACTAAAACTCACAGCCTCCTGGTTTTTAGCCCAGAGGTCTTCAAACTTGGCAGCTTTAAGACTTGTGGACTTCAACTCCCAGAATTCTCCAGCCAGCATAGCTGGCTGGAGCCAGCATAGCATAGCATAGCTATAGCATAGCATAGCATATAGCATAGCATAGCATATAGCATATAGCATATAGCATATAGCAGATAGCAGATAGCAGATAGCAGATAGCAGATAGCAGATAGCATATAGCATATAGCAGATAGCAGATAGCATATAGCATATAGAATAGCTGGCTGGAGAATTCTGGGAGTTGAAGTCCACAAGTCTTAAAGCTACCAAGTTTGAAGACCTCTGTTTTAGCCTGATGCTTTAACCATTGCACCAAACTGGCTCTTGTCCTCTTCCACTACTTTCCTTCTATTATGAAATTATGGTTGGTCGCACAGTAGCCAGATGTTTAGACTGCATTTTGCATTATTGTCCACCTATTTCACCCTGCCCAAGGATCTGGGATAGGCAGATGTAATTGTTTAATAATATTAAGGGTATTGTTGCAATATTTGCAATGGATGGTGATTTGGTTAATGCTGATGTCATTCAAGCTCCAGACATTTTGGAATTACTCCAAAGGAGCCTGTAATTATTGTTACTATCTTTGCTTTCTTTTTTTTGCTGTAGTTGTTCTACTTTTATTTTTTGTGATTTTTTTCTCTAGTTCTTTCTCTTCTATTCTGCGGTCTCCAGGTACTGCAATATAGCAATAGCACTTAGACTTACATACCGCTTCATAGTGCTTTTACAGCCCTCTCTAAGCGGTTTACAGAGTCAGCCTATTGCCCCCAACAATCTGGGTCCTCATTTTACCCACCTCGGAAGGATGGAAGGCTGAGTCAACCTTGAGCCTGGTGAGATTCGATCTGCCAAACTGCTCGCAGCCAGTGATCAGCAGAAGTAGCCTGCAGTACTGCACTCTAACCACTGCGCCACCATGGCTCAATATCCACTATCTTTTTTTGTCATTATTTATTTTGCACTGTCCCCCTCTATACTCTCTTCTTCCTCTAGTTAATGGCAGAGATCTGATGTGCTACATGTTTTTATTTTAAGCGGCATTTCTGCTGCCATGCCTTTGTTTGTTAATACAATATGACCATGCAAAGTTCGTAAGAGCTCCATAAAGTGGGGAAACTACTTGGTTATCAAAAGGGCGCTGACTGATCTGTATATCGCTCCCAGGATTTTGATGCAAAACAGAAAGAGGTCTAAACTCAAACTTCAACTGGAACGGACAGATCTTTAGTAAAGGGAGAGACATGAACATAACATTTCATTGGGTTGTATTTTTAATGTTTGAAACTGCCTTCCTGAATACATGTGTCTCATCAGGGACTGGAGAAAAAGCTCTTTCCCCTCTTTTCTCCAGATCACTGGAGGCAATTATTCAGGAGGCCCTATAAATCAGGCTAGGCAATTGGTTGCTTTCCAGGCATTTTGGATTACAATTGAACTATCATAAAGACAACATGGTCAATAGCAAGGAATTATAGCTAGATACCTATCAAGTGATGCAATTTTAGTGTCCAGATAGTGTGTATATTCAGTTAATGATAGCTACAGCTCTTTATCCCATCAGTTTACTCTGCCTGTTCATACCTTGCAGAGTAATTCATACATGTTATTGTGCAGAATTCTCAAATGCTAGGAGTTCCTTGTTACACGGAGGCACTCGTGTTTATTTTCACAAAAAGTCAAGCTCAATAAATTTGTGCTGACACGCTCCTTGGCTCGTATTTCCTAAAGCTTGCTATCAACCCTCTTTCCATCATACTTGCTTTTTATACGCATTTGGGTACCTGCATGTATAACAGCTTGCAGTTTCCTTTGTCCTGTAAATCAGTAGGATGTTGCTAAGGTAGCCATGCTGCCTGTTTCTCATTCTCGTCTTCTCATCCCATTGGCCTTGTATCTGTAGTTTCCCTTGTGATTTCTATGCCTCTGTATTGCAAACTTCACAACTGCCAATTTAATATGTGTGATTTGTTTTTTTTTATTTTCTCTGTCTGTCTGCCTGACTATCTGTCTGCCTATCTGTCTATCTAGTCTGTCTGTCTATATCTATCCTCTCTTTTTCTGTCTATGACTGTCTGTCTGTCTGTCTGTCTGTCTGTCTGTCTGTCTATCTATCTATCTATCTATCTATCTATCTATCTATCTATCTATCTTTATAGTTTCCTTGTATTTCATGATTCACCCAAGTCTCCCAGGTGGAGTTAATGCATCCACAAAATACTATTTATTAATTTGCTTTCCTGCCCAATTGTTACTAGCTTTCTCCTTTTAACCCAACCCCCTTGTCATTGTTATTCTAGGCTGGACAATTAGGTGTTACAGATTTGGGAGCTAGCTAGTCTAACTCTACTCAACTACTACACTGCTTGTAATTTTGAGCCAGCCTGATGTGTTTCCAAATCGGGAACTGTAAAAATGAGTAGTAATGTTTTGGACCAGGATTTCTGGATTTGCTACTTCTGGGCCTAGGATAGGCCAACTGCTATAATCCCACGAGAACTAATTGCATCTCTTTCGAAAAGCTTGAAACGTCTTCACTAATAAGAAAAGATTGCTTAGAGAGAACAAAAAAAATTATAATGGATCTCAAATATATATAAATATATGGAAGTCACCTAAATCAGGGGTCTCCAACCCCTGTCCCAGGGCTCACTACCAGTTTACACAAGCTGGATAGAACCAGCTGCATTTCACCACTGATCTGAGGCTAAAGAGCAATCTCTTTTCTTTTCCTTCCATACTACTTCACAATTCCATTTTGAGTTGGCAAGGCAGGACAGGACATCTACCACAGTGAAGTATTACTAGGTACCTGGTCTGTTAACAAAAGTGCTTTTCATTATCTCCTGCTGCACTGGAAATCTGTATATTTTGTTTCTTCTGGGGGCAGCTGGTTGTGCATTTCTACTTCATCCAAGGATTTCAGGGCTCAGCTATACATAGAAAGTTAAGAAAGACAAAGTTAGCATATAGGAATAATTTGCACTTGTTAGGATACACGTACAGAAAGGGTTTGCACAAATGAGATGGTCTTGAGCAAAAAATATATATATTTTTGACTGTATATCTCCAGCTGTCAGTCTAGAGCCATTTAGAATCGCATCAGTGGGTAATCAGGAAACTGACAGCTAAGATGGAATGAAGTTGATAAAGGCAATACACATTGAGGATATTTCTGTCTACAACTCTATAATTAATGCAAATGTCTATACCGTATTGTTTCTTATCTCTTTGGATTTGAAGGATTGCAACACAGTGATAGAGGAGGGAAAGATGAAGAAAAGTCAGTGTTTTTGGATATGAATGGATCTGAAACATCTGTTCAGAGACTTATGCCTCCTGTAGGAATTTCAAAAGAAATGTTCTTTCTCTCTCTCTCCCTCCCTCTCCCAGGGGCGAAATTCAGCAGGTGCTGACAGGTTCTGGAGAAATGGTAGCGGAAATTTTGAGTGGTTCAGAAAACCGGCAAATACCACCTCTGGCTGGCCCCAGAGTGGGGTGGGAATGGAGATTTTGCAATATCCTTCCCCTGGAGTGGGGTGGGAATAGAGATTTTGCAGTATCCTTCCCCTGCCACACCCACCAAGCCACACCATGCCCACCAAGCCACGCCCACAGAACCGGTAGTAATAAAAACTGAATTCCACCACTGCCCTCTCCCCCTCTCTCCCTCTCTCCCACTCTTTCCCTCTCTCTCTCCCTCTCAAAGGGAAATGAGGCTGAACAAGAATGTCATATAAATAAATAAATAAATAAATAAATAAATAAATAAATAAATAAATAAATAAATAAATAAATAAATAATTTTATTTCTATACCGCCCTTCTCCCGAAGGACTCAGGGCGGTGTACAGCCTATTAAAAGCACAAAGACAGACATCAATTAAAAATTATTAAAATTATTAAATAATTTCGGCTCAGATTTAAAAGCCCCAAAATTTAAAACACCCAATTTAAAATCATTACATTGATAGCCCGGCCTGGCGGAACAGCAGGGTCTTGAGGGCACAGCGAAATACACGGAGGTCGGAGATCTTACGCATTTCCGGGGGCAGTTCATTCCACAGGGCAGGGGCTCCCACAGAGAAGGCCCTCCCCCTGGGTGTCACCAGCTGACATAACTTGGCCGATGGCACCCTGAGGAGACCCTCTCTGTGGCCGGTGGGAGACTGGCCGGTGGGAGGCTATTGGTGGCAGAAGTTGGTCTCGAAGGTACCCGGGTCCTATGCCATGGAGTGCTTTAAAGGTGGTGACCAGCACCTTGAATCGCACCCGGAAGACCACTGGGAGCCAGTGTAGCTCGCGCAGGAGGGGTGTCACGTGGGCACAACGGGTTGCGCCCATAACCACCCGCGCGGCCGCATTCTGGACCAGTTGGAGCCTCCAAGTGCTCTTCAAGGGGAGCCCCATGTAGAGAGCATTACAGTAGTCCAGCCGGGTTGATGGATCTGTAGTGCGCTTCATTTCTAAAATAAAATATGCAAAAGCAGTAAACAAATGTAGAAGTCCACATAATAAGTTCATCTAGAAAACGTTTGCTTTGATAAAAGAGTTTGATTACTTGGTGATAATAAAAAAATATGCATAGCCCTGGATATACAGTCCTGATATTTGTGATATATGAAGCTTGGCAAAGCAGAGGATTTTAAGGAGCTTATTATGTATTAGGCTTTGGTGGGTTGGATTTGAGCATGCTGTAATCCTGCCTGATAAAGTGTACAAACCATACAGCAATCTTCATCAACCTTCTTCCGCCTGGATGTATTTGGACTACAAGTTCCAGAATCCTCAACTAACAGTGATAACCACTGGATGCTATAGCCTCCAAAAGCTTTCCCCAGGCTTGGTATCCATCATATGCATTGACTTCAGTTCCTAGAATATCTAGCTTCTATGGTCGCCATAGTGAATTCTGGGAGTTGAAGCCTTATGTTCTTGGCAGAAGGCTGGTTTAGGCTCTCTCCCTCTTTGCTTGGCTGCATTTATTTTTGGCAGGCCCACCTGCTTCTTCTTGCCTAGTAGAAACAGTCCAAACAGAAGCTGTAACCCTGATTGGAATGCGTAACTGAAGATCTTGATCGGAAACCGGAGCCTTACCCAGGGGCTGCCATATAAAGGAGCAAAAGAGACAGGTGCAGTCACGTGGCATGCTTGTTTTTCCACATAGAATAAATAACCGCACAATTCATGGGCCAAAAATTTAAAGGGGGAGCAATAAGCAATCCTTCCGGGGCCCCTTCCCTCCCAATCCTAAATCTACAGCTGCCTGGCTGCCTGTGGTGACTCTAGTTAAGCCAGGAAAAGAAGAACGGGACCGCCTACTACCACCAATAGCCTCCCACCGGCCAGTACGCTCTCATAGAGAGGGACTCCTCCGGGTGCCGTCAGCCAAACAGTGTCGATTGGCGGCCCCTAGGGGGAGAGCCTTCTCTGTGGGGGCACCTACCATCTGGAATGAGCTCCCCCCGGAGATACGGAGGATCCCGGATCTGCGCTCCTTCCGCCGTGCTGTGAAGACCTTTTTATTCCATCAAGCGGGCTTGGCCTGATCTCTTCCCTTTTTAAAATATGTAAATTTTAATCTGTTTTTAAATTATTGGGGTATTTTAATTTGTCTGGGCCAAAAAGTTTAATTTGATTTTATCGGGTTTTTAAATTTTGTGTATTTATGTATTTTATTGTTGGCTGTTCACCACCCTGAGTCCTTCGGGAGTAGGGCGGTATACAAATCAAATAAAATGAAAATGAAATGAAATGAAGAAGATAACAGTGGCCAGCAGAGAAGGCTTAAAAAAGGTTATGTCATATAAACATATACCTCAAGGGGGCACTCATACCCTGCAGGACTTTTCCATTAAGGTTTGCAGAACTCTTGCTTCTCAAATCTTCCCTGCTAGCAATCCTCCAAAGTTAAACCTCGTGAACTCTCACTCTCAGGTTTATCCTACCTTATTCAGGGCCAAACATCTGAGCAAGCGCACAGAGATCTTTTGGTATGTGTCCCTTTATTATCCTTGTGAAAATCTTAAGGTTAAAAACAAGAGTAAGGAAAGGGTTGCATGAAAACAGGGAGAAATAATAGGGTCTCTGGAATTGCTCTCAAACTATGGACACAAAGTTCAAAGCCTTTCAGGTCCTTCTGTTGTTATATGTTTTTTTTGTTTTTTTTAATGAGGATCAAAAGAGCTCATTGCTTCATCAAAAGAATGAAGTCTGTTTCATAACTCTTCCCAAACCCAGAGTGAAGCTTAAGTTGCAATCCTGTCTAGGTGGCTCAATGGGTAAGACACTGAGCTTGTTAATCAGAAAGGTCAGCAGTTTGGCGGTTCAAATCCCTAGTACAGGTTTCCTGCGTGAGCAGGGGGTTGGACTAGATGACCTCCAAGGTCCCTTCCAGCTCTGTTACTGAGCTTGGGGGCAAAACTTCTCTGAACCCTGCAAACAAAACACAACACACAACACAAAACACCACCCAAAGGCTATGGAATAGAAAGTCTCTTCTCAATTGCTATTTCATCACAATTTTCTGGCCTCAGTCTTTGAAAAAGAAATCTTTTTGGGAAATAAAAAGGCTATATTTGCCACCAGGTTTTGCAGCCTGACCTTCCTGTCGTTGTCACTGCTTAATCCTTTTACACTTCTGATTAGAGGAAGGGTAAGGGAAGCAGCCCCAACTGGGCCACTCATTAGAGAAAATCTGAGCATGAATTA